CGTAACAGTCACAGCTAGATATCGAAATAAAAATAGCTTCAAAATTATATCTGAGCATAAAACCACATTTATCATAATTGTTAGATTATTATATGCTATAATTTATTTAAGTTCTTTATGCATTTATGACTTGTATAAATAATAAAACAATGAGACTCTGTAAAATGGAATATTTTTTGATAAACAAGAAATAGAAATATTCTTCATCAGAATCGTGCGTATAAAAGCGAAGGAAGTTTGCTTTGAAAATAAGGTTTATTTTATCTTATTTTCTGTGTAATTATCTATGTCAGATATACGTGGACCTATCTATCTCTAAGATATAATTGAAAGCCATGTTACCAAGCGATATTAAGAGAATCGGGAAAATATCGAAGAAATACGTCAGCCTGCTCTCGTCGTCTGATCAGGATATATATAGAGTATTGGGTCCAAGACGCTAATTTATAATTAGAATGTAAACTCCTCTAACGGACACTTCACGGCAAAATAACCGACGCTTCAAAGACTGACATAAAATGCACTCTAAGAAGTACTAATAAAATTCGAGGCTTCCCTGAATAAAGAAATATCAGAGCAGAAGCTTGGCAATACTAGTATGGTACTGAAGATGAGGTACATTCAAATAGCGCCGCGTTAATAACACAATATGAGTATATCAACCAATTGTTGAAAGACAATTTAATTATGTTTGTATATTTAAGAAATTTAGAACGGCATTTACCAAATAGACTATTGGTCCCTGTAATGGATCATGTTTAAGTTGAGCGCAGTTAACGCTGCGGCTGCACTGCGGGAACTGCTTTCGTTACATGCATCGGTGTTTATTGTCCGATCTTTATGAAATCTTAAGGCTGATCAAAAATTTAAATATTCTCGGGAGTAGCGGAAAACTTAGTGTCTCTAGTTGAAAGATATGTCTAAAAAATTGGATTTAGACGCCTAATAAATTTAAATGTTACGTAAAAGTTATTAGCTCGAATATTCTCTGATATCTCCAAGTTTACTTATACGGATGGATGGACTGAGATCGATCTTGTAATTTTACTTTAATAAAAAAATGTCGAAAGCTCCATTTCATTTATAATATTCTCTTATTTCTTATTATTAGCAACTTATTTTTAGCAACTGACCTGATATATTTTTGTTTTTGTTGCTTTTCTCGTTTCAGACATTTTGTGTGCACTGTCCGTTGACTTTATCTATTTTTTTTTTTATTGAGGCAAATTGAAATTTTAATGGCAAATTTGTTGTCACTTTTTCTTGCATTGACCCGCAATTAATTTGATGTGTCTTAAAGTTGAAAATTTGTATATATTTTGCTTGTTTTTTGGTTGTAGACTTGCGGCAAATGGCATCATTTTAATTGATGTGAATTGCAGCTTATAATAGCCTCGAGGCAATTTAGCTCGCCGCGAGACGAAATGCTTTTTGTGGGCTAAGTGTAGAAATCTATTTTGCCGCAGACAAAAAAACTGTTAGCCAAACGCTTTAAACGTGTCCATGAGTAGAACACTCGACGAGAGAGTGGCACATCGACTCCGACTCCAACTCCGACTCCGACACCGACTCGAACTCGAACAGAATCAGCGGATGACCCCCAAAAATTTGCGCAGCAACACCAATCGCGGGCTGCTATTGAGGAAGTCATAGACCCCGAGGCCTTTATCGGAACAGCCGTGAAACCTGGCACATGTGACCTGTTGAGCTCTTTGTGAGTTTTGTGTTTGCTGAAATAGTAGCTCCGTCGCTGCTCATCAGCGTTTTCTCAATTTACAAATAGCCAGATATTTATTTACATGCGTTTGAGCTAAGCACATATACAGCCCGATTAAATAGAAACTCATTTGAGTCAACACCTGACTCTTGAGCGCAACTGTATCAACAGCCAGCAAAGCAGGTGACAAACAGAATAACTAATAGTATTTGTTAGTTAATTGTTGACAAGCGGATCACACTTAACCCAGAACAGTTGGGCTCAATTAATCTCTCGCAACTTTGAACTCAAATTTATTATTGAAGAAAAAATTTCATATTTTTGTATTATAAATAGTTGACTGTGACCAATTTTTATACCCTGAACCCATTGAAAATGTTTAGAGAGTGTATAATGTATTTGTGCAAATGTATGTAACAGGCACACGGCAGAGTCTCCGACCCCATAAAGTATATATATTCTTGGTCAGCATCAATAGCCGAGTCGATCTAGCTATGTACGTATATCAGAACCCATTAGCACCAAATAATTGAAATTTTGAAAGTAGCACTTCCTAGTGCCTGTACGCAGTGCGAGTTTGATTCCGATAGTCGATAATTTGTCCCTTTCCAAGCAATCGATGAAAACTGATATCTAAATCTTGTTTTTAAGCTAATTTCTTGGATTTTAAGAGCTAGAATAACCTAATAGTTTGTAGTTTGTAGTTTGTAGTTTGTAGTTTGTATTTTGTAGTAGTAGCTTGACTCTAGTATCACTCTAGTGTTTTCAAACTATGTCTACTGCCGCCCGAAAACCAGCCACCATCGCCATAAGTCGAATAAAAGGAAAGAGGAATTTCAGCTACAACTAGACTCTTTTTGTTTTTATGGAATATACAAATATTCTATAGCACAATTATATGCACTACAGTAAAATGCATTCAGATTGGGTAAAGAACAAAAAAGATATTAAGTAAAACGATATATTGGCAATGCGAGAGTTTCAGTATACACGTGTCGGGCTCTCCCGACTAGATCAACTTTCTAGTATTATTAAAGAAGCTCAATTATATGCAATAGTTTGATCCCATAGTTAATTAATAATTATAGCCAATAGTTAGTCTTTCAACTAAGCCATTAATAAACGTATATAATACATATTTTAATATATACATGGTTCGCATCAGTTAAAGGTTCCAATGTTTAGAGGTTTAAGGTTTGCCTCGTAAAAGGGCAAATTATTAGTTGGAACCGGTTTTATTGAAAATCGTCTTGCAGCTGAGAAATATATTCAACTTTTGTTCAATCACAGCTTTGATGACAACCTATATAAGCTTGGCGGCAGCACAAAAGAAAAACTCTCCCTTTCTCGTTTCTCCGCAAGAGTTTCTTATAAAGAACCGCTGTTTGGAATACGCCACTGAAAACTAATTAAAATAACAAAAAACAATGCAAGCATAGAAGCTGAAAGCCCACAATATTAAACATTTATTCGAGAATTGGAAAAAGTGAAAATCGTTTGACTGTGTCACAAAATTAACGACTAACTTAAGGGAACCCTAATCCGTGTTTATATTGTAATTCGTTTATTATTACGTTTTTGATGCTGGAATTTGTATTCAAAAAAGATAAAAGTTTCGCTTTTAATAACATAAAATCTTTAGATGTATGCGCACTAGCCTAAAAATATAAAAAACGCTTTACACGTGGGCCCAGGAAAATTTTAAATTTCCGTGAAAGTCTCCGACCCGACACCTTGAAGAACTTTTTAAATGGGAACACAGCATTTTAGTTAAACAACAAAAGTTGTTGCCGTTAAGGAACTGCACTTGCTTTTAATTCAAATGAGAAATTCTTCTAGAATTCAGTTTAAAACATGAAAGAGGTTCTAGTCGGGAGCTCCCGTCTAGGGGATACCCTGAACCCTCTTCTTCCAACATCAAATGTATATATATATTCTATTTTAGAAGCTATATGTCAAGTTTGGTGACTCTAGCTCTTATTATTTACCAAAATTGCCCAAAAAACAGGATATAGATATCGATTTTATCGATTGCTTGGAAGCGGAGTAAGTTATCGATTATCGGAAACAAACTTGATCTGCGCGGGAACTAGGAGCATCTACATCTTAAATTTCAAGTCTCTAGCTCTTATAGGTTCTGAGATCCTTGCGTTCATACATACGGACGGACGGACGGACAGACAGACGGACATGGCTAGATCGACTCGGCTATTGATGCTGATCAAGAATATATATACTTTATGGGGTCGGAAATGCTTCCTTCTGCCTGTTACATACATTTGGCTTTCGCACAAATACAATATACCCTTATACCCATTTTTAATGGGTTCAGGGTATAATTAGGTCGATCTATAGTTCTACTTGCGAAGTGGCATCCCACTTTGCAAAGGCATTAACACGATTTTCTTTAGATATTATATTCGCCTTGAAAAGACACCAAATTTTCAAGAAAAGGATGTGCTACACGACTTGAACCAAATACTTGTACCTAGGTTCAATTCGTAATCCAGGTTTACCATGCCTTGGGGCACAGATTTTTTTCAAGAAATAATGGTGCAATCCATTCGATTCCCCTATTTGTACATTTTTTCAAATGCAAAATTAGTAGAAATAAATATAGATAAATAAATGCAATGCTTGGGGTCCACTTTATTGATGCCTGGCGGCTGGTTCTTCCTAAAACTCAGTATTCTTTTGAACCAAATATTTGTTTTTAAAAATATGGTAAGATTTTGGTTCGGTTTTCGACAGGTTTTAGATACATTTTATTATTCCAACCAGCCTTGCAGCATTTCATACACAAATAAGTGGAAACTGTAGCTTACAAGTTCTGACAGCTTGGGCTGTGCGTTGATCATCATTCAATCAGTCCGTCAATCAAGACAAACTCAAAAAGAGCTCAAAAAGCATTTGATCAAATATATCTATATTCATGTACCAAAGGTAAGTAAATTGGCGTGGATACCAGATCCGATAGGAACAGCAGCAGCAGCATCTAATTTGAGCAACATAAGAAAACCATTATGTGCCATGCCGCAAGTCTATAAAAAACAACTTACAAGATATACAAACTGCATCTAACGATAAATTTACACAATCAGAGAGTCGCAAGATGAACGAGGGGGAGAGAAAGGGAGAGGGAGTGAGAGAGAGAGCGAGAGAGAGACGGCAGACGGGCACACATAGCCCCCAATTTTGTATATTAATTTGAGAAACGCACACACACACACACGCACAGACACACACACAGGCACACACACACACACCTAATGCGATCACTCACCCTATTGCATTCCAAGGCAGCGGCGCTGTGCTCCTCTCGCTGACGAAAACAATGGCTGCATTTGCTCTTGTTGAATATATTTGGTGAGAATTTACGGCAGTCGGCAATGCGTCCGCTGCTCGCAGTTGGCGGGGGCGACGCAGCTGAAGTCGATGCTGTGTTTGCTGTTGCTGCTGCTGCGACTGTTGTTGTTGTTGTTGCTGCTGCTGTTATCGTTGAAGTTGACATTTTGGCAGTTGGGCTGGATATTCGCTCAGCCGCTTCACGTTTTCAACTTAGAATCTGTCGACGAGCTTTGCACTCTGCTCAGCGTTGATGCTCGGGGCTTAGCGCCATTGCGTTTACACACTGTTTCGACTCTCTCACCCTCTCTCTCTCTCTCTCACACACACGTACGTACACAAATATAAGACACTGAGAATGGCCTGAAAACGACGACACCCAAAGCCAATTTAAACAATTTTGCACAATTTACTTTCTCTTATATTTTTCGACACTTGATAAAGCAGACGCAACGGGAGTTACGGCAACTACAACGGGCGCGGTCCAGGCCGGGCAGCCTTACATATTTATGCAAATGCGCCCCTCACAGACACGCAGTTGTTTTTGTTGGTGTTGGTTCCTTGTGGAACACAGACGCAGCGGCGCAGCAGCCGGCACTGCTTGAATGTTCTTGTTGTTGTTGTTGTTGTGGTTGTTGTTGTTTTTCTTTTCTAATTGCTGCAAAATTAGCAAAATATTCGCTGAATCAGCTGCCTGTCGTCGTTTGCCGTTTCAATTCACGTTTGGTTTCAATTTCCTTCGTAACTGTTATGCACTTCAGCTTTGCCGTTTAGATTTTGATATCAAACTTTATATTTTTGGCATGGCAAGCAAATAATACGAATACGAATAACAACACATACACATACACGTACGCACACAACTCACACTCATTCACACACACGCGACACACTAAAAAATTATTCAATTTTTCTTTGCACTTGGCTTCTCCATTGGACGGACACCAACAAAACACACGGCTGAAGTTTTGCTAGACGCTGACGCGCGCTTTGTAAATATGCTGGCTGCTCTCGGCACAACGAATCGGTTCGAATGCATACACGACACTGACACGCCAGCCCCAACAAGTCGCGCCGCAACCAGTCGAGCGCCAAAACCAAAACGAAAGAGCGAGAGAGTGACAAAACCGGGAGAGCGCCAAGGTGGCCAGAGTGGCAGCTAACGCAACATTTAAACTCTCTTTCGCTCTTTCGCTCTTTCGCTCGTTATGAGATATGGTCTAAGAATTCAACACTTATGTTATGAATTTGTATGGTTGGAATGTCTCTAATTCGCTATTTACTGAAAATGAAATTGATATTTTTGATAGCCAAACAATTTTGATAGCATTCTCAAGAGGTACAATACATACTTTCTATATGTGTTTATTTTATTTATAAGAAGGTTATGGTTACTTATGTAGATGTATGTACATACCTGTTGCTTCTTTATAAGCAAATGCTTCAGAGTACTCTGACATCACAACAATGCTCTCTTATACGAGGCCGCTGAGCATTCAACAACGAAGTTGTTGATCAGTTCAAACAGCTGCTTCTGGTGTTTCCAACTTGGTTTGACAGCAAAACTGCTGACTGTTTAGCCGAATTTCAGCTTGAAAAAGCTAAATGCTTTATGAAGCTCAAGAACAGCGAACGAAATCTATAAGTTAGGATTATTTTGGAAGCTGGTTATCATAATTTTTTTTAAAATATGTACTATCAGTTAATATAACACCCTTTGTTCTCACTAACTGATACGTCATCCATGTACAGCCACTCCGTAAAGCTAGGAAGTTGCAATATCTAATGTTTATATTATGGGAAATTTTATTATCATATCTTGTTTACCATCCGATCGATCTGAGGCCCATTTTCAAAGAATTTTATGAAAATTAATTCGAAAAGTGTTTCACACTTTGTGGGAACCGTACGAGCGAAAGATTTTCTCGTCTTTAATGTATAATGCCTGTTTTCTTTCATAAATAAACTTTTTACTCATGTGCGGGAATCTAAAATGATAGGCAAAAAACCTAGCCCCAGCAAGGCCAGGAAATACCCACCAGTAATATAAATTATATACGATTGACTTTAGGGTAATTCATTTTTAAACTAGAGAGTATTTCGACCAGCCCCCCGTCACGAAAAGTATCCCAAAATGATTAGTTTATGACAACCAGAATATCAGCAGCAGCAGCAACAACAATAATGCAGCAATAAACAACAATGAACTGTGCGGTTCATTAGCAGCCTCGGACAACCTATTTTGGAGTGCGCAGCAGCAGTAGGAGAGAGGCATCGAGAGAGAGCAAGAAAGAGAGATAGCGAGAGAGAGAGAGAGAGAGATAAATAGACCGAAACGAACCCTTTTTATGCAACAGTAACAAAGAGAATGGAAAAAAATTGATTAATTAGGTTCGTATGTTTGTTCAGATGAGGTGAAAAGAAAAGCCAATGGAAAGGTGCGAAACGCATTCGACTTGCAAGCACGGCGCAACACTCAACCAAATATTTTGACTCACGCCCTTGGATCATGGCGCAATCAGGGGTAATATATATGTATATATACACCTGCATACGTACAAAGCACACACACATACACATATGCAAGAGCTCGCACAAATGCATTTTTGATTATTTTGGGTCTTAGCTATGTTCCCTTAATGAGAATACAGAGCGCAAGGATACAAATTTACAAATGAAACTTATCCCAATCTGCGGGAGTGAAGGCAGGTAACCAACAAATTTCACAGCCAAGTTTTTGCCTTCAAATTTGAAAAATCAGTTTTTCATTAATTTTCCGCCCGTGGCCATTTAAATCTACCCGCATTAGCATTGAACTCGACGTCTTTGCTTCGATTCTAAATAGTTATTTGAAAAACAACCTAAAGCATGATGCAACATTTTCCTGCTCTTGTTTGTCTCGCAATTTCCATATAGAAAAGCGTATCAAATCAATTTTCACAGAGATCTTTGAATATAGGCTAGAAGCTGACAACCAATTTATCGATAACTTATCATAGAGCGGGCCGATAACACACCGGATAAACTTAGAATCCAGTCGATCGGATTGTAAACAAATGGAATTTCCGAATGGAATTTCCCAAATCGCGGAATCTTGTATTCATTAAGTTCTTGTGTTGAGCTTTGAAAATAGGTTTGAAGCCGATCGGACCAGACCTAGAACTTCGTTCAAAAATATTATTGGAAATTAATTTGATCCAAAACAGAATGGAGTTTCTGAATGGAGCTAGATTTTTGAAAATGAGTGCAATTTATCAAAACACTGCTTTTTCAAGTAAATTCAGTTAGGATTTCGGCCTAGCCATCCCCTGTTGGTCTTTGGGTTGATCAGCGTCAGTCAGTCAGCGCAAAAAGTTATATATAGTCTATATAGACGCACAAAATATTATGAAAAGTTTGTCAAGCATGTATATATTGAACTAACAAGTCTCCGTTGAGGCATATAAATTATACATTTCTATCTATTTTAGTCTCAGAGATCGACGCAATATATTGCATGGATACCTCTATATCGTTTTGCCCCATTTTCGAGTTATATACAAATTAGACCTTTCTTATTCTTATCCCTACGGGAATACATTTGTCCGGCAGAAGTAACGCCCCTAGCTACCTTTTAAATACTAAGCACAGAACTAAATTCTATTTCCCTTAAGGTATTGCTCAGGTAATTGTGGAAATACCTGCGAAATGCATTACGGCATATTGATTTCTTTTGTCGTTATTGCTGCCGTTGGCTGACGATCGTTTTTTCATTTTGCACTCTCATTCAAATGTCAAGCGAGTCACGCGCGTCTGTGCCCCACACAAGCGGAGGCAATGTGAACTCTACATAGTTCCCCAGCTATTTATACCCTGAACCCATTGAAATGGCCGTAAGGAGTATAATGTTTTTGTACATATTTATGAAACAGGCAGAAGGAAGCATCAATATAGATTCACGATATGGCCGATAATCTAGGTCGATCTCGGTCAGCAATCGTAGCTGTACTCATGTTTGAATCTATGCGGAATCTATCTTTGTTTGTGTATCTTTAAATGGCATCTCGCAGTATCAGTATTTATGTCATTCGTTCATGCTCGTCATGCTTTCTATATATTTTCGATGAGACCGATAATCTAATCCGATCTCGGTCTGTATTTGTAGCTGTTCTCATCTTCGAATCTTCCTGACTCTGTCTATGTATCTGTATCTTTAAATCTTGCAGTTTCAGTACTTATGTCGTTCCTTCATTAAAAAGCCAGACTGAAGGTACCGTCATGAATTTATATATATAAACAGTCTCGAAAGGGCCGATATTCTGGTTCGATCTCGAACTATATTTGCAGCAGCTCTCATGTTTGAATCTGTCGTTGTATCTGTATCTTTAAATGGCATCTCGCAGTATCTGTATTTATGTCGTTCGTTCAGTGATCAAAAAATGAAAAGCCAGAGTGAAGGCATCGTCATGCTTTCGACAAAGTATTTTGTAATTATTAAAAATTCGAGCCCTTTTGACAGCAGCTCGTGGCAGATTTTCCTATGGCTCGAATTCGGAAAACGGGCGAGGCTGAAATGCAGCACATGCCAGCCAGATACAAACTTGTTGTCGCAGTTATTGTTGTTATTGTTGTTATTGTTATTGTAGTCGTTGTTGTTGTTGTTGTTGTTGCCGTCGCCGTCGCTATATATTAAATTGATTGCAGCTGCAGACAGCACACAACGGCCCGCCGAACACCGACCCCGATCACACTTTCACTTTTCTATGCTAATTTATAAATAAAAAAAAAAAATAGCTCGAAACAAGCAAACACACAATTTTTATAAGGCGCATTTTCTGTTTTCGGATTGGTCCTTTTACAGTTTTAGGTGCATTGACTTTACAGGTATATGGAAAACAATTTAATTTTTATGGCTGCCACTTAAAAAACGCCTTTCATTGATGGCATTTTGATGTTGTTGTTGTTGTTGTTTTTCGTTGTCTTGAGCTTTTGGCCACGTTAGGGTCGCTTGATTAATTTATTTTAAAATTTTAATGCCGCTTTGGAGTATTTAATCAAAATATTTGTCTACTCTTCGAAATTCGGATTGCTCAAAGCGTCGGTATTTTTGAACTTCAGTAGACGAGCCGCTTTTTTTTTTACTGCCACAGGTATTTACAGGTATCGAGAATCTAAAATGTGAGTGTCTTCATTCAACGGCAGCCAGAAAACCAGCCTTGAGGAATGAATTTAAATTAAATGGGCCTCTCTTTTTATTTTTTAAAATAGCTGCAAGCTCTTTCAGAAATAGAAAACTGGTAAATATTGTGTAACCAAAGCCAAAACAAAAAAATATTACACGATAGATTTGTAGAAAACGGTTTTGAGTCAGCAATAATCAATTTCAAGAAGACCCCTTTCGATTCGAGCTGCTGTCACATAAGAACAGAGCATTCCACAGTCTGCCTTCTTATTTTTTACTAATGTATTTTCTGCGACTTCCAGCTCTGCATACATATGTATATATGTACATATATGGCACTCGAGTATGCTCGCGTTACTAAGTAGCAACTGTATAAAAGTCTCTAACTCCAGGCTTTTTATAGTAAAAGGCAGTCAATAGAGGTCTTCAGGTCTTAGGTAATTTTGAGGTGCAGCACTTGGTGAGTTTCCGTTTAAGACGGTAGTCAATTAAAAAATCAGTTCCAAAACTTGATAATCAAAAACTCATTGGCAGCAACACTTCCTCGATGAGGAAGCACTGTCAAAAAACAAAAAACAGACATGGGCGTTAGCTCAGGCAGCTCAGGCAGCTCAGGTAACTCAGGCAGCTCAGCCAGGCCAGTCAGCCATGGCCTGAGCAGCCAAAACGAGCTATGTATGCGGCA